TTTTTTTTTTTTTTTTTTACACAGAACAACCCGAGAGGGTGCTAGGGGTGCTGGTAAGAGCAGACACCACTAGCAGTCCCAGGGAGGCTCCATCTATTGGTGGGGAGCAGCACTTGCTGGAAAGCGGGTCCAGCGTCCCTGAACATTCTGAAAACAGTTTGTATGATTGAACAGATCCATGGTGGTGTTATTTTTATCCAGTTGGGTCTGTTTACCCAGGGTGATGATAGCCTGTTCCCAATCTAGGTTACTGAAATGCTTGTCTAATTTGCTAACCCAAAGATGGTGACCGAGCTTGCTGAATCCATAGCTTAGAAGATAGGGCACTGGGGGCCTCGCCGCACGGTACGCGAAACGAAAAAAAAAAACGGCTTCTTTTCGTGACCATGTTGCCGCACAGCACCCACGCGACACCTGTCAGAAAAAATGCGCGAAATGTGTCAGTTTCGCCGTTCGCGAGAGCGGGCACGTGCAACAGTTTTTTCTGCCTGCACCTCGCGCGAACTCGCAGGTCCTCCGGAGGTGTGCTGGTGGAGCTGCGAATTCGCGCCTGTGTGGCACATCGCTCCAAAGAGCCTGGGTGCACTGTTTGGATTCTGCAAAAGTCATTCCTTCTGTTTTCCACTGTCGGAAGGTCCTGTGTTGCCACTGGTTCCCTGTTCTGGATTCTGTGCTTGGTTTCCTGAGCAGGAAGGCTGGCTGGCTGTCCTTCCTTCTTCTTCCCCCCGTCGTTGAACTCGTGGCTGATCCGGCACACCATTCTTGTCTGGAACTTCGAATCCAAGAGTAGCCTACTCCGAAGAAGTGGGGGGTGTGGGGCAGGGATGGAGGCCAAAAAAAGAAAAAAGAAAAAGAAGAAATAAAAAAGTAAAGAAAAGAGGAAGGCCCTAACGTCACCAGTGCTTTGAGGAATGTATCTGGCCAGGAAGTGAGGAACATGAAACAGGTAGTTTTCCTTTTTTTGTTTCTTGTTGTGAGGTCCTTGTAGTGCCCTGCCAGCCGGGCAGGGCGGCTTCCACGGGAGGCAGTTAGCTGCCTCTCTTCATTCCTTTCCAGACAATTACTGTAGCATCCTGTATCCGACCGCAATCACAGCATAAGGGATGTTTTTTTTTTATCTGCTGTATCCACGAGGGCCCTGACTGAAAGGCAGCCCGAGTTTCAACTGCAATTGAAACTCGGGCCCTGACAAAACTGCTAAAACGCAGTTTCAAATGCAATTACAAACTGTTTCCGTGACTGCGCCGAAGTTACCCCTTTTTTTTCTTTGGGCTGGTCCATTGGTGTTCCCCCAGCGGCTGCACGGACATCTTTGAGCCTCAGCGTTGGGATTTCAGGCAACGGGTCGCCAATGGTTACTCTTGGAGGACGGCCGTCGTCGGGGTTCGTCTTCAGTTGGGGCTGTGTCGTGGTGCGTCCCGCCAGCTTCCTAGGGGTTCAACGGTCGGGAATGTTGAATATTTTACCCGATCCCTCCCGCATCCCTGCTCATGCCGGCGACGGAAAACATCAAGTGCGTGTGTTGTATGCTGTCCTCTACCGTTCGCTTCTTTCATCTTCGCCGTTTGGCGGACTTCCACCGTCGTCATGGAGTAACAGCCCTGTCGTAGTTGCGATTTTGCTTCTCCTGTTCCACATATGCATCCTCGGCAGAGTGCCTGGGCGTACACGCAGCACCGCTTCTGCAGGATGGCCTTTGCCTCATCTGCATCATCGTCGTTATTGGATCTTGCCGTCTCGCCTCCACGAGATGACCACCGTCATCTTCGTCGTGTGTGTACTCCTCAACGCACGTGTGTCATCGCTTCCGCTCCATCCACCCTGTCCATTTGCACTCGTCATCGTCGTCTATCCCGCATCGTCATCACCATCGTCATCTCCCACAACTGCCATCGCCTTTAACATCCTTTGGCCATCGTCGGTGTCGCCATCACCATCGCCATCGCGGGAGTTGACGTCGCCATCTTGAATTTCGTCAGGCACTTTGTGTGGCCATCATTGATGTCACCATCGCAATCGCGTGACGCCTGTCACCTTCGAAGCCTGCACTCGTGGATCGTTGTCGTCGCAGTCTTTTGCTTCTCGCAATTGGACGATCGTCATCTGTGAAGTCCAGCATTGCAGCGGCTGGCGTCGCTCGTTGAAGAACACTGCAACCCATGGCGCAACAAACCTGAAGTACAGCCTTGGTGATGGGCACGGTATCCAGCCCTTTGACCGGGACTTGATGAAGCATCTTCCTCCTCCGTGCACGGATCTGCGCTCTCATTTTGTCCAATGCCCTCTCCTGCTGACAATGAAAGAGCACGGCTGTCACGGCCGCCGCCACGGCCGTCTTCTCGGTCGTCGTCAACTTCGCACGTCCATCGTCGCCGCCGCCCTCCATTGGCACGCGTGTTGCAATGCTCATCACTATGAAAATACAACAGCCTACGAACCACGGCAACCTCGGTGCTAAGTTGCAGACGTGTGCTTGACTCCACACATACACGCGGCGACAGGAGGCGATGGCAATGAACCTTCGCGGGGCGACTCACAAATTCGCGATGATTTATGACGACTCCACTGCGCTGCAGCAAATGCCCGTTTCCCTTGTCGCCAGTATGGACGTCACCTGCCCCGCGTTGCCGTCGTCACGTCCAACACCCAATTTAAAATTTGATTTTTGAACGGGGATGTCCATTGCTTTTTAAGGTTTTTTTTTTTTCCCCATTGCCAGCACCTTTCGAAATTTCCCAGCTTTGGCAGCTGGACCACACCGTCGCAAGTCGGACATCACCCAAGGCATTGCCCCCCCCACGGTCGACTGTAATATTATGAAAATGGACGCGGGGGGCCAAAAGGAATCATCCTCGTGAGACCACCCCGAGGGTAGGTGGAACGACGGCAGGAATTTCCTTCAAAACCCCGAAGGAAACTTCCTTTGGCCCCGAGGACGCCACAAGGAGTGTCTAATGAGCCCCTACAGCCAGGAGGCGCCGTTTAAATCTGGAACCTTATAGGCTCTGATGTCCACCCCACCCCTGCAAGGCTGTAGTCTCCAGCTTCACACACATCACACACAACACCACACACAACACCACACACAACACCACACACAACACCACACACAGCACCACACACAGCACCACACACAGCACCACAAACAACACCACACGCACGAGGCGGCAATTCTCGCACACTTGGCTCCAATCAGCAAGTCACCCCCTTCTGGCACACTACGGCAGTAAGGCTCTTATTTTTCCTTTTTTTTTTCCCCATATAGCAGTAAGGCCTTCCCACCTTTTCATTCTGGATTTGTACTGTGACCAATCGAATTAGCCCGCCATTGGCTGGTAAACATGTGTGCTCTACCTGCCATTGAAGTGAAGAGACCCTTATAGAGTCTGCCGACTTAGACGACTTTCTTCCCACGAGGCAGACTTACACCCTGGGCTTAAAATAAAGGAGTACATCTAAAGAAAAAAGAAAAAAAGGAGGCAAGATAAGGCTGTGTTGTGGAGTTTTTGAATAGGGGTAACTGCAGTAGAGTCACAAAAAACCAGTTATAATTGCACTATGAGGCAAGATACAGTTTGCAATTGCACTTCGGGCACCCTACCTGGCCAGAAAGCTGGGTTGTGTAAATTACCCGAACTGCAATTCGAAACTGTATCTTGGCCCGTTGTGCAAAACTATAACTCATTTTGCGACTCTGGCGTACTTTCCCCTTTTTCGAAATATCAACCAGCCAGCCATTGGTTGGTAAATGTCTCTGTGTTTAAACCACCAGTACTTCCTAGAGTCATGCCCTTATACAAGCCACAATTTTATTAGGAAACGTATGGGTCACTACAGCAGTGCCCAAATTCATCCCACAAGTTCCGCGGCCGATAGCTGGGCCAAGTACTGGTAGTTTAATCCGGAATGATTGCAGCGAAGAGACCTCTACTAGTACAGACTCATATAATTTTCCTCCACTAAACCATTTGATGGGCTTTAGGAGATGAGCATCAGCATTCAGACATTCTCGCCACCTTTTCCTCGCAATGGTCCTTAAATCTCCTCTCTTTGTTTAGAAATAACTATACATTTCAATTTCGATTTTATTTTACTATGATCCCCCTTTTTGATGAAACCGACACTATGTTCTTCTCTCAAATTCTTTGTGGCAGTTTTTGCCTTTCACTACCTTCCTACCCCTACTCCTAAGACTATATTGAGGGAACCCCTGCAAGCATAGGGCCTCGCAAATGAGGTAAATCACCCTTGCAGAAATGTATCTTTGGCAGCAGCGACATATAGAGCGGACCCCTGCAAGCATAAGGCCTCGCAAACGAGGTAAACCGTGTTGGCCCCCGGCCCAACAGCGGTCGTCAGAGATGGGAAGGGGCCGCGGGTGGGGGTCTGGCTAACGCGATGACCGAGCATTTCGCCAGTAGCTGCGCCTCCCCTTCTCATCGTCCCCCACCCCTCATAGAGTAGCAGTGGAGCAGTTTCGATTTTCAATCTACCTCTTCTGCTTAAACCACCAGTACTTGGCCCATACATCGGCCGCGGGGCCCTCCCCGGGACTCTCGGAGGCCGGCGGCGCACTCTGGGCCGTTGATGCGATTTATCATCGGCCCAGAGGCTGCGAAAGTTGCGGGGCGTTAACGACAACGCCCCGCGGCCTATGTATGGGCCAAATACTGGTGGTAAACCACCAGTACTTGGGCGACGCCTTAGCGTTAACGCTACGCGATTTCCGCGGACGGCGGGCCGTCGATAAATCGAATCGACAGCCCGCGCTGCTTCGAGATTTGGGCGGCCGGCGCGGCGCGCAGTGCCCAAGTACTGGTGGTTTAATAACGGATGTCTCGTGAACTTGGAACTTCTCTCCTGGGGTCAAGTCCCACTAGCAGCGTTGAGTTTCCTCAATGCCCGAATCTGGACGTGCCTGCGGAGATGTGGAGAGATGGCAGGGAGTTTCCTGAACTGCACAACATCAACATCTCCACAAACACGTCCAGATTCAGGCGGCCAAGTCCCACTAGCAGCGTTGAGTTTCCGCAATGCCTGCAATGCCTGAATCTGGACGTGACTGCAGGGATGTACAGAGATCGCATGGAGTCTCCTCAACCGCACAACAAATGCATATTCAAGCGACGTGGAAGAAACTCAAGGCTGCTAGTGGGACTAGGCCCCTGATAAGGGCCTGACCTCTACTATTTCTGGGCATCGACATCCAGGGGTGAGGTCCCATGAGGAAAGAGGATTGGATAGAACTGCTGAATCTGGATGGGTTTTAAGTAGTGATGCAGAGAGCCGAGCAATAGTGATTCTCTGCATCAAAACTTAAACAAGTCCAGATTCAGGGGTTGAAATCCAACTCGAATCCTCGTTGCTTGTGGGATCTGCCCCCCTTAGGTAAGTTAGTGATATGGTTTTGAGGGGAAAAAGGAACCCTCCCCTTTTTTCCACCCCAAGCCTCTCACCCTAAAATGGTCCTCTCATGCCACCTACCTGAAATAGTTAGAAGATTCCCAAAAAAAAAAAAAAAAAAAAAAAGTTAGAAGATTGCCTTTCTTGGCAGTTATTTCTTTTAAAAAAAAAGCAATTTTAACAAAAAGCATGAAAAGAAAAAGCATTGATGATTAGGCAGAAAAATGGGACCTTTAAAATGGGACCGCCTTGCTACCCCCTGCCTACTTTTCCTTCACACCGCCATTGAAAGTGGGACCTTCTGGGGCCAAGTCCCACTTACGTTGATTCTTCATTTCTGGTCGTTGATATTCGAAGAGCTCCGCCTGGTGATTACCTGAGTTTTGTCACAGTAGCTCAGTGAACTGTTTGGGACTTTCTGGAAAAGGGAGGGCGGGCCCAGGGACTACCTTCTTTCTGTATCTAGACTGAAACATGCCTCAACTTCAGCCATAATGACCGTACGTTGTATTCGGGGGAAGAAGGTAGGAGTTATCTTTTCAGGATTGGGTTGTGATCAGCCCGGATATTCCACTGAGGACCGCAACGGACTTCCCGTATGCCTTTCCCCCACATCCGCTGGCTCTCATCGAAGTAGAGACTGTCAGGGGCTTCCTAGGCTCCAGCAGCAGGATTAGCAGCAGGAATAGTGGTGGGCAGAGGGACGGATGGCTCCACTGGTGCCCCCCCTGTGGTTCCACCTTTCCCTCTATGCCTGGAATATGAGCAATTCAATGCTGCACCTCGTTTGCAGACCTTGGATCCTCCCACACAGTTCATCCTAAGGCTTCTTATCTATGTCACGATTGGGATGCTGGACCCAGTTTCCCGCAGCTGCTGTACTCCGGGACACTGGTCATGGTTTCCAGCAGCTGATGTACTCTGGGATGCTGGACCCATTTTCCAGCAGGTGTCGCTCCCCACCAAATAGGTTGGAGTACCCGAACGGCCTACTTGGAGGGGCCGCTCTAGTAGGAGCGGTGGTCACTGGACCCATTTCCCAGCAGGTGTCGCTCCCCACCAAGTAGATTGGAGTACCCGGATGGCTTACTAAGAGGGGCCACTCGTACCACCTCCCCAGTAGGAGCGGTGGAGTTGGTTAAAAAAAAAAAAAGANGGGGGGGGGGGGGGGGGGGAAGGGTTAACACCTGTCGAGGGTCCTCTGCTGCAATCCACCATGTAGGATTCTCCATGTCGTGTCCGCTGCTGCAATCCACCATGTAGTGCATTCTTCAGCTACTGAGACCCGTCGTTGTGACGAACTATTTTCTGTGATTGCACGACTTTCTGCGCGAAGCTGCTTGGGGAAATACGACGGGTCGGATGGGTGAACTGTGGGAAGATGGGTCGGGCGGGCAAATTGCACGAATGTCCTTGTTTCTTTTCGTTTTCTGCTGGAAGTTGTCGGATCAGTGTTGGGAAAATCCCACACCAACGGTTGGGTAGCCGCGCCATGACGAGCGCGAGAAATAACTGCACCATAGCTTCTTTCTTGTTCTGCTGTGAGCACTGGGAATTTTGGCGCGATCATGGCGCGAGAATATCGTTTTTGAATTTTCAACTGATGTCGAGCCGCTACGGGCTCGCAGAATTGTTTTTCTCTTTTTCGGAATTTCCTTTTGCAATTAGGACTTAGGCTAGGAATTTAGGCACGCTTAATTTTGCCGCGCCACGCTTGCGCGCACCTTGCTCCGCTGGGAACTGGGCTCGGACTGGATCGCGCCCTTAATCTTGTGCAACTGTCGTTTTGGCGGGCGCGATTGTAACTATATCTTTCTTCTTTCTTGGTTTCCTCGTGTTTGCCCGCCTTCTTCTTCTTCCTCGCCTCGCATACTCTATTCTAATTGGCCTGAGCGCCTGCATGACCGGATCGATGCGTGGAGTGTGGCTACGACCCCCACGCCGCGGCCTTGCCATGTAGACGTAGGCACTTCCTCTTTTCTCCCCTTGTCCACCTGGGCGTTATCTCGTACCTTTCGCGCAGGCATGCATGCTATAAATTATGCCAGTGCGATTAGTTTGCTCTCTTATAATTTCAAGGTTAGCGCAAACGAGCAAGTTTGGAAGGTGAGTGAG